TTGCGGATCCTGAGCATATCCTTCTATTAAACAAATAAACAAACACAAAGGCCCCATATCTCCTGATAGTAATCCTGACACCTCATGTCTGTTAAAATCCACATTGTTGTCTTACTCCTTCTGTTTCAGCTGGTTCTCCAGACTGCAAAGCAGCAGCCTCAGCCAGTGCCCTACATTTCTTAGTGCAGTCAACCTGGCCGCTTCAGCTTGGATGTTACCCAGAGGCAAGAAAACCAACTGGAGTAAGGCCAAGTATGCCAGGCAGAAGGTTGTTTGAATCCATTCCCTCCATGTCTCGTTTTGTTATGCCCCACTGATAACTGGAATATCTTAATGGAGACCTAGAAACTGAACTGAGGTGTGTGTTTCCCACATCTCTGCTAGACTGGAGTGAGGAAGAGGGGAGTTCCCCGAGAGGTTTTCAGTATATACCAGTAAAATGTACACTGTATTCCAGTTTATTGCCTTGTATTTGATATAGATTTAGGAACGGAGCAGCTACAGGTTTTCATACTAAATTCTCTTTATTTACTAACTGTAGATCCTAAGCACATAATGCAGACAGTGAGGGGGGAATAGGTCATTGGGAAGAGACTTTTCTCATGGGAAATGTGGGCTGTGGGTTGGGGGGATACCTATGATATGGAGATTCTCTTGGAGGAGGCAGAAGAGGAGGAGGGAAGTTGTCAGAATTTGGCCTGTGGGAGGGGTTAGAAATGGTGGAGGGAAGGCTGGAGGACTCAGGCCCTGTCCAGTGGTTTGGCTTAGGACAGGCAGAGCTGAATGTGACCTTTCTGAGAGTCTCAGCCTGGGGTTCCTGGCCTGCTGGAGAGGAAGCCTAGGATGCCAGTGGCTCCTCCCACAGCGTTGGAAGAGGTGGGGGAGCAGATCTCCTTGCTGGGGCTGGCCTACCTCTAGGGAAAGGACCAGGAAGGCAATGCTGCCTGCCAGCTGACCTCTTCATCGCACTCAGAGTGGCAGGATCTTGGCCTAAGAGAGGAGCCTTCATCTCCATGGCACGCAGAATCACTTTGGTGTGAGCATTTCCTCTCCTTACGTCCCTGAGCAGTCTTCCAGCAGTGGCAGCTGCATCCCAGTACTCGCGGGCTTTCTTTTGCATGCAGGTCACCTGCCTTTGGTGGAATTGAATAGTTTTCTCCCCCTCCTCCTGCGTATCCTGGGCCATCTTCCTGTAGGTCTCCAGCTCTTTTGCAGTAAGGCTCACCTCTGCTTCCCGTATGGTCAGTTTCTTTCCTTGCTCTGCCCAGGCTTTAGACTGCTGTCTCTGTTTGGTGTGGCAGTGCAGCAGAGTTTGGCGGTGAATCTCCTCCATCAATGCGACCTTCTCCTGAAGCTTATGGCTCTCCCGTCCCAGCTGTGCATTGGCTGACTCCAGAGATGCTTTTTGAGTCTGGAGATGGTACAGAGACTCTTGCAGTTCTTTCTTAGTTTTCTCTGCCTCCCCGAGTTGAGTGCGAAGTTGGTTTCTTTGTTCTTCCATGTTCTTTAAGGACGCATTTAATCCAGCACCATAGACCAGTTTCTCCAAAGGCACTCTTGGCCGATGACCTGAGCCAGGACCATTTTCCAGGTGACTCTCGACTTCCTGCTGTGAGTTCTCAGTTTGTGTGGTGTCTTCTGGGAGCCCAGAAGCCCAGCCATTCGTGATGATGATCAGGCGCTGAATCAGAGCCTTGAAGTGCTTGCCTTTCTCCCTAAGCAGTTGTTCTCCTCGAGCCTGGGAGTCTTGCAATGCCCTTTTCCGTGAGGTAAGTTCAGCCTCTCTTTCCTTCCAACGTTGATTTTCCTGGGAAAGCTGTGAGTGGCTTTCGTGGAGTTGGCCATTTTCAGTCAGATCATCTGTCATTTCTCTCTGGAGCCACTTTTTGTGCATACTCCACAAGGCGAGCTTCCTGTTAGCTATTTTGGATGTCTTTGATGTTAATTTTTCTGCTGGGGACCGGATCTTGTTGGATACATCTGCCATCTCTGATTGCTGTTGTCGAAAACATTCTGATGCCTTTTCTGTAAGCTTTTTGAGGAGGCGGTGTATCTGCCCTTGAATCTTGGCTCTGTTCCTCAATGCCAGCACCTTCTTGTGGGCTGCCTTCCGACGACGCTGCGCTCTCCTGGCCCCCTCCTCTAGGCGGACCTTCTTGAGAGCTGACTCGAAGGATTTGTGTTCTTTCTGAAGATCGCTGAGTTCATCCAAGAGTTGGCACTTTTCTTTAATGCGTTCTGTGAGCTGCAGAGCAAGCCGTTTTTCTCTCCACACTCCCAACCGACTTCGAATGGAAAGAAAAGTTCTCCACGAAATCAAGACAAGGGTCAAAAGACCCACTGTGATTTCCCAATCCATCACACAAGGATGCGCAACTACTTGCCTGAGCCACAGTGCTGGCCTGGAATGTTCAGTGTTTGGTCCAGAACCTAGCAACAGGAGTGGCCCACTGCTGAGCTGGTTAGGGGGTGAATTGAGGGGAACTCGGGGAAACACCATCTGTCAGGCATCATGGGCTCAGGTTCCCTCTGCTGAGAGATCTTCAGGGCTCTTATTTTGCTCTCTGTCCTGGAACAACCCAGTGCCACACATCCCCATAAGCCTGCCATGTGCCCATCCTTACAGCACCCCCCCCCTTCCCATTGGTTACCTCTGGCTTGATGGTGTTATGTAGGTGGGGAAGGAAAACGAATGTTGAGATAACGGTATGCTGTGTCTCCCAATGCCAATGAAGTACATTTTGAAAGACACAGCCTAAAACACTGCCATACCACATAAGTCATAAGTCATTGAGATTATCTTGAGAAAAAAGAAAAGTCCTTTGTTCACCAGGATGGTTTCTTCTGCCATCATTAGATATTTTACTCACAAATTTATCTACACACCTCGATTTCAGTGCTATGTCTTGATTGTCCACATGCCACATGTTCTTGTGTGTGCTCTGGGCCTCTCTATTCGTTTTCTTTCTTGGGCTTAGTTTCCTTTGGGCTCATTTTTTTTTCTTTGACGTCCTTATTTCAAATGTTATTTTCATTCTATATTCCCTTCCTGACTGGTTTAATCAACTTGCACATTTTTAAACTATCACTTCCTTCCTATCTCTCACATCTATAATTCCATCCCAGGGCATCCCTTAACTCCAGGGTCTTATGACTGACTTCAAGGTAAATACCATTTCTCAGTTCTTCAGACTCTCTATTCTAAACAGAATCCATCTTCCCATCACTTTGGCTCTGCTTCCCACATTCTCTGTGTCCTGCTCTCTCTCTCTCTCTCTCTTTCTCTCTCTCTCTCTCTCTCTCTCTCTCTCTCTCTCTCTCTCTCTCTCTGTTTGTGTCTCTGTCTCTCTTGTTTTTCATGTGTTTGCTAGGACCGTTATGTTTCTGGTGTTATCTGGAATGCTTTTCCAAGCCAAGTTTTCCTCAGTATCATCAATTTTCCCATTCACCTAGGCATACTTATTTTGAGAAGCATGGGTGTCTTGCTCCTTCTCTAGAGCCCTGTGTAACTTGCTCTAATCTCTTCAGTGAAGATCATGGCACAATTTAATTTTTTGTCTTCCTAACATTGCACAGTGTGTTCATGCAGAACTAACCCTAACCCTAACCCTAACCCTAACCCTAACCCAAGAATAACCCTAAGCCTTAGCCTAACCCTAACCCTAAGCCTAAGCCTAAGCCTAACCCTAACCCTAACCCTAACCTAATCCTAATCCTAATCCTATTCCTAACCCTAACCCTAACCCTAACCCTAACCCTAACCCTAACCCTAATCCTAACCCTATCCCTAACCATAACCCAACCCTAAACCTAACCCTAAAACTTGCCCTAACACTACCCCAAGACTAACCCTAACCCTATCTCTAACCCTAAGCCTAACCCTAACCCTAACCCTAACCCTAACCCTAACCCTAACCCTAATCCTAACCCTAATCATAGTCTTATTCCTAATCCTAATCCTAACCCTGACAGTAACTCTAGCCCTAGCCCTAGCCCTAGCCCTAGCCCTAACCCTAGCCCTAGCATTGGCCCTAGCCCTAGCACTAGCCCTAAACCTAACCCAAGACTAACCATAACCCTAAACCCAATCCTAAACCTCAACCTAACCCTTTATACCTAACCCTAACCCTAACCCTCTTACCCTAACCCTAACCCGAACCCTAAACTAACCCTAACCTTAACCCTAAACCCTAAACCCTAAACCATAACCCTTACCGTAGCCCTAGCCCTAGCCCTAGCCCTAGCCCTAACCCTATCCCTAACCCTAACCGTAGCGCTAACCCTAATCCTACCCTAACCCTACCCCTAGACCTAACCCTAACCCTAACCCTAACCCTAACCGAAGACTAACCCTAACCTTAACCCAAGAGTAACCCTAACCCTAACCCTAAACCCTAACCTTAATGGACACCCTAACCCTAACCCTAACCCTAACCCTAACCCAACCCTATCCCAACCCTAACACTAACCCTAAACCTAAGCCTAACTCTAATCCTAACACTAAACCCTATACCCAAACCCTAAACCCTGAACCCTAACCCTAACCCTAAGCCTAACCCTAACCCTAACCCTAACCCTTTAACCCTCCCTCTAAACCTAACCCTTTAACCCTACCACTAATCCTAACCCTCTAATCCTAAAGCTAACCCTAACCCTAACCCTAACCCTAACCCTAACCCTGCCCATGGAAGGGAGGCAATTGTGAAGACTAAATCAGAAATCAATGCAATTGAAACTAGGAAAACAATACAACAAATTAATGAATAGAAGAATAGTCTCTTTGACAGAATAGATAAATGTGATAAACCTCTGACCAACCTTATGGAAAAGGAGAAAGAAAAAACTCAAATCCAATCAATAAGGAATGAAAAGCATAAAATCACCACAGAACCTGGGCAGATATAGAAGATCATCAGTATCTACTTAAAAACATATGCTCTCCTAGGTTTGATAACACAGAAGAAATAGATTCCTAGAAACATGTGAATTACCAAGTCTGCATCAAGAATATGTAAAACTGACAAATAATCCAATTTCACTGAATGAAGTTGAAAGTACAGTTAGAGACTTACCTGGAAGAAAAATCCAGATACTGATGGATTCACTGCTCAGACCTACAAGAAATTCAGGAAAGAAATAATGCCAACACTCCTTGAATGCTTCAGTGAAACTTCAAGGGAAGCAATTTTTCCTAACTCGTTCCTGGGAGCAAATAATACCCTGATATCAAAATCAGAGAAAGACCCAACCCAAAAAGACTCTTACAGCCCAATTTCCCTGATAAATATAGGTAGAAAAATCCTCAGTAAAATACTGGCACACACAAGGCAACAAATTATGAAAAAGTTTATGCAGGAAAATCAAGAGGAATTCATCCCAGGAATGAAAGGGTGGTTCAACATTCACAATTCAGTAAATGTAATACACAAAATCAACCACGCCAAAGGCAAGAATCACATGGTCATCTCAATAGATGCAGAAAAATCTTTTGACAAAATCCAATATTAATTCATGACAAAACCCTTGAAAAATTCACATAGATGGTGAGTTTCCAATCTGATTAAAGCCATAAATGATAAGCCAATTGCCAACATCTTACTCAGGAATAAAGAAGAAAATCTTTGACTTACAATCAGGAAAAACACAAGGATTCCACTATCACTGAATCTGTTCAACATAGTTCTGGAAACATTAGCTAGAGGAATTAGAGATGAGAGAGAAAAGAAAAGAAAACATGGGGCAAAAGAAGAAATCAATGATCATTATTTGCAGATGACATGATGCTCTACGTAGAAGACCCCCAAATCTCCATTGAAAGACTTCTAGAAGTAATACCCAAATTCAGTTATATCGCTGTATACAACACTGAAAGAGCAACAGGATTCTCATATACAAACAGGAAACGCACTGAGGTGCAAATAAGGGCAATGAAATACATCAGAATAACATAGGATAACATCCACATAAATGAAACACTTAGCAATCAGTCAAATAAAGGAAGTAAACAAAATCTATATTTGGAAATCTTCCAGCCTCTTCCTAGTTCCACATTTATGGGGGCTCCAAAATGCATTATGCATTTTGTTCATATCCAGTTCCCCATTATTTCCCTCCTCAGAATTCTATCCCTTTGTATTTCTTTCCTTTTGCCTATGTATAGTCTCTATTTTTATAGTTAAGATGATTCTTTCATACATTCTTTTTTTTTTTTGTCTTTTTCCTTTTTATCAGTATCAGAACTCACGACTGCCGGTGAGCTAGATTCTTAAATTAGAAAAGAATAGAATCCTTCTGCTAAAAAGCTGAAGCCAGTATTTATTGTCTCTTTGCTACTCTCCAGGCACTGTGCCATAGCCCAAAGTACTCAAGTCATACACCAACCCTCTGAGTTAGGATGTAAGTTAGAATTCCCTAGAAGAAATGAAACAGGAGAATTATAGTCACAATTATCAATGTGTGTTTTATAGCAGACTCATGAGGCTATATCATTGGAGATGTTGGATTTCTCTTGACTGGCTAAGCATTCTTTGTGATATTTACAAAATGATGGGCTCAGCTAATGATTCATTTCTCAAAATATATACCCTCTGTTAAGAATGCAACCTTTTATTAAAATGTGTTTAAAAATATCAAAACAGAGATTTATTTTAAAAGATTGGCTCATTTGATTGTAGTTCCAGCCTCTCTGAAATCCTTAGGGAGGAATTTCAGAATGGAAATTTCCACAGGAGTTTATTTGCTGTCTTAAGTTTACAATAATTCAAAGTCAAAGATCTTTTTTTTTAGGGGACATCATTTTTTTATCTTAAACTCAATAAGATCTAGAAACACTGTGCAGTATAAACCTGATGCACTGAAACTGAAGTGGCTTAGATATTAATCACTTCTCAAAGAGTCTCTCAAAAAACATCTAGGAAGATTTTGATAGAATAAAGTTTTGTAGGATTATAAAATGAATAAAACTGAAATCTAGGACTCAAGGCCAGGCTGTGGAATAATTGAACTTGCAGTGATGTAGTCACCATTAAAGCAATCTTAGCAAGATACATGGGAGTGTGAGGGGGTCACAAAGGTGGCATGGCCAACTTCCCCATTCATATGCAGAATCTTGTACCGTCCTTCCTTGGACAGCTTGAAGCTGTTGACCTGAGGCTTGGATGTAAGGACTAGACTGTGGGAAGCATGGGATATTCTGAAAGGCAGTAATCAGTTTCTGTTTAGCTAAAAGTTTCTAAATTGTGGGAAACATTGTTGTTTGAGTTGTTGCTTTGCTCAAATGATTTCCTCCATTTTTCTTTCACAGATATTGTCATATACACCCCAAAATTCCTCTTAACATTTTCTGCCATATATACAGGTCATTTTATTCTAAGCATGAGTTTGTGAACCACTGCCAAAGAATACAATGAGCAAAATGAACAAAGTATCAGGCATTGTGACATATGAAGTTGTAATGAAAACAACTGACACTAAGATAAAAACAAACACATAGTCCAGTGG